ATATATATAATATATGTATATCTATTATATATATAATATATATACATATTATATATATGTAATGTCATACAAAGTGTATTTTAATATTAATATAAGTATATATATTAGTATTAAATTACACTTAGAATGACGTTACATATATATAATATGTATATATATTATATATATAATAGATATACATATATTATATATATATATATATATATGTATAATTACAATAATAAATAAATAAAATAAAATAAATAAAATATTGAAACAAAATTTAATATAAATTATATATCCATATGTAATTTCATTCTAACTGTATTTTGTTATTAATATATATATATATTGGTAACAAAATACACTTAGAATGACATTCTATATATATCTATTTATATATATAAAATACAAATAACCGCAAATATATATATATATAGATAAATACATATAATTACATTATATATTATTACCCCCATTATGGCATACCATTTGCAAAAGTAGACAACCCAAGGTATTGCAAGTGGGGTATGTCCAGTCTTTCTTAGTAGCCACTTAGTCACAAACACTGGGCAAATATTAGTTTTTTGCTTTTTTCACACACAAACAAATATGAACGGTAACTTTGGCCAGTGTTTGTGACTAAGTTGCTACTAAAAAAAACTAAACATACCCCACTTTCAATACCTTGGGTCATCTACGTTTTCAAATGGTATGCCATTATGGGGGTAATTCTCATTCCTGGGCTACCACACCGTCTCAAAGGTAACATTACTAATCTGGCAAATTTCTATTTGAAAATGTAATGTGCTATATTTGCCCTGTAACTTTCCAAAACACCATAAAACCTGTTAATGGGGGGTACTGTTGTACGTGTGAGACATCGCTGATTACAAATATATGCATTTTTTTGCAGTAAAACCTAACAGTATTATGACATTCACAGCTAAAATGTCAGACGGAAATACAAATTTTAAAAAAAAGTCTTATTTTCTCACATTTTTTTTAATTTTATTCATAATAAATTATGTTCCCTATATGAATAGTTAATGATAAATTAAAGTCCTGTTTCTCCTGAACAAAATTATATATAATAAGTGTGGGTGCACTTAATGTGAATTACGGTTGAACAGACATATAGCGCAAATTCCAGTTTTGTTTACGTTTTGTTTTGATCAGAACGTGCACTATTGACTCTGTTCTGAAGGGGTTAATGGTAATAGAAAATTTGGTTGTATTCTGTTCAGGGCTTGATTTCATTACATTCCTTGTCAGGATGGCCCAATCTCTATACTGCCCTCAATATGACAGGGTTATTTACTAAAATGTGAATTGTTGGACTTCACAGTGGATTTCAAATTTAAGACCAAAATAGCTGAGCTAGATAATTTCTCCAAGTCAGCTATGCATCCAGTGGAGCTATTTTTGACTTAAACTTGAAATTCACTTTGATTTCACAACATGAATAGCCCTGTGAATATTACTTTTAAATGGTTAACTACACAATAACTCATGAGAGTACACACCACAACAACCTACACCCCTTCATAAAGGGTGCAATTCCTACAATGCACGTCATCAAATGCATAAAGCATTCTTTATTGATATAAGGATGCAAACCATACAAAAACATAAAACGACACCTTTTTTAGATTACAAAATGATACTTAAAAAAAAAAATTACAACTGTGATAGTGACACAGGTAGCAATATTATAACATAAACCTGCCATCAAGCTGAAACCTATGTGCCGTAAAAGGGACACTATAATCACCAAAACAACTTTAGCCTAATGAGGCATTTTTTGTGTATAAATAATTCCTCTGAAGTTTCACTGCTCAATTCACTGCTATTTAGGAGTTAAATCACTTTTGTTTCTGTTTATGCAACCTTAGCCACAACTCCCCTGCTGTGACTGACACAGCCTGCATGAAAACAAAATGGTTTTATTTTCAATCAGACGTAACTTTCTTTAAAAATTTGTATCTCCTGTTCTGTAAATTGAACTTTAATCACATACAGGAGGCTCCTGCAGAGTCTAGCAAGCTGGTAAAAGAGCAGAAGATGGTAAATTCTAAATCAAACATAATTTGCAATAAAGGAAGTGTAAACATTAGATGACTCTTTACAGGAAGTGTTTAGGAAGGCTGTGTAAGTCACATGCAGGGAGGTGTGACTGGGACTGCATAAACAAAGTGATTTAACGCCTAAATGGCAGAGAAATGAACAGTGAAACTAAAGGGACATAATATATATACCCAAACTGCTTCATTAAAGGACCACTCTAGGCACCTAGACCACTTCAGCTTAATGACGTGGTCTGGGTGCCAGGTCCTTCTAGGGTTAACCCATTTTTTTATAAACATAGCAGTTTCAGAGAAACTGCTATGTTTATAAATGCGTTAATCCAGCCCTCAAATCCTCTAGTGGCTGTCTCATTGACAGCCACTAGAGGCGCTTGCGTGCTTCTCACTGTGAAAATCACAGTGAGAGCACGCAAGCGTCCATAGGAAAGCATTGTAAATGCTTTCCTATGAGACCGGCTGAATGCGCGCGCAGCTCTTGCCGCGCGTGCTCATTCAGCCGAATGGGAGGAGAGGGAGAGGATCGGAGGAGGAGAGCTCCCCGCCCAGCGCTGGAAAAAGGTAAGTTTGAACCCCTTTCCTTTCCCCAGAGCCGGGCGGGAGGGGGTCCCTGAGGGTGGGGCACCCTCAGGGCACTATAGTGCCAGGAAAACGAGTATGTTTTCCTGGCACTATAGTGGTCCTTTAAGCTAAAGTTATTTTGGTGACTATAGTAAGCATCTCAAAATAAACAAATACCGTTCTCAGTTGGCTCACAGTTGTGCTTGAAAGTTTGCATACCCTTGGAGAACTGGTAATATATATTTATTTTTTAAGAAAACATGAGTGAGCAGGCAAAACATTTTTTTTTTATTTCTTTCAGGATTCATATTTAACTGTAGGTTATAACACAATGGCACAATCATAAAACAAAACATGGCAACAAAGAAAAAAAATGAAATGCCCCCTGTTGAAAAGTCTGCATACCCTTAGTTCTTAATACTGTGTATTGCCACTTTAGCATCAATGACAGCGTGCAGTCTTTTCTAATAGTTGTCTATGAGGCCCCTAATTGTTGCAGGTGGTATAGCAGCCCATTTGTCTTGGCAAAATGCCTCTTGCATGAACCGCACGTTTGGAATCGTCATAGAGTCTCTCAGTGATATTAAGGTCAGATGACTGTGATGGCTACTTCAGAACCTTCACCTTCTTCTGCTGTAACCACTGGAGGCTCAACTTGGTCTTGTAGTTAGGGTCATTGTCATGCTGGAAAGTCCAAGAGCGTCCCACGGGCAGCCTTCGAGCAGAAGAATGCAAATTGTCTGGCAGTTTTTCTCATGACATGCTGCATTCATATTGTAACCGGGCTTTTTTGTGGCATTGGCGCAGTAAAGGCTTCTTTCTGAAAACTTGACCATGCAGCTCATTTTTGTTCAAGTATCGTCATATTGTTCTCCTTATAACAATCACACTGTCTTTTTCCAGAGCAGCCTGTATTTCTCCTGAGGTTACATGTGGGTTTTTCTTTGTATCTCAAACAATTCTTCTGGCAGTTGTGGCTGAAATCATTCTTGGTTTACCTGACCTTGGCTTGGTATCAAGAGCTCCCCGAATTTTCCACTTCTTAATAAGTGATTGAACAGTACTGACTGGCATTTTCAAGGCTTACAATATCTTTTTATATCCTTTTCCATCTATATAAAGTTCCATTACCATGTTACGCAGGTCTTCTGACAGTTCTTTTTTGCTCCTCATGGCTCTGTATCTAGCCTGCTCAGTTCATCCACGTGAGAGCTAACAAACTCATTGACTATTTATACACAGGCACTAATTGCAATTTAAAAAGCCACAGGTGTGGGAAATTAACCTTTAATTGTCATTATAACATATGTGTGTCACCTTGTTTGTCTGTAACAAGGACGAACATTCAAGAGTATGTAAACCTTTGATTTGGGTGATTTCTGTTATCCTTATGATTTAAAAAGGAGCCAAACAATGATGTGATAATAAATGGCTTCATATGATCACTATCCTTCAATAAAATAAAATTTTTTTGATCAGTCATATTTTCTAATTCAATTCCAAAATTTCACAATTTCTACCAGGGTGTGCAAATGTATGAGCACAACTGTATATATTATATCCTTATGTAATACAAATTGATACTTTAAATGTTCGAACATATAAAATGACAGTCCAGTCTGATAACAAACAAATTGTATGATATGTATTCATTAAAGTGGCAATTGCAAAGAACTGAATTGCACATTTAGGCAAAAAATAGGTGAGTTGAATATTTTTTATTTAGTTAGGTTATTTAGCCTTAAAAAATCACAGTTCTCTTGTTTAGGTTCCACAGATCAACATTTAATGAGTAAACGCAAAGGGAAAGTACGACTGAGCAAGCACATGCCAAAAATAAAGATCAGATCACACAATGATACATAATAATATATGTAGAGTATATTTCTTTTTATATGTGTTGTATTGATGTATTGCTCTACAAGGCATATGGGTATCTTTTATATATTTGCTTGTTTTATCAGTGGTGTCGTAGCAATGCTGTATAGGTTCACAGCATATATCATATAAAATAAAACAAATCTGGCATGGCATCTAATAGCAAGCCACCATCTGCTTATTTGCCTAATATCGCAAAGAATTATGGTAGTGTGGTAGAGATATATAGGGAGATTTGTCAAAGTTAAGCGATCAGAAAAGGGCTACAAATGTGATGAAATCTAATGGGATAAGCAGTTGTATTTTATCAATGGCAAGAATTTGTACGTGTTTTAAGAAACTTATATTTTATTACTAAGCGCTCCAGCATATACTTCACACAGTTGTATTTTATTGCTGATTACTCTAGACTAGAGATGTCGCGAACCGTCCGCGAACTTCTCGCGAATGGTTCGCCGCAGTCGCAGCGAACTCCGGTCAGCTGACACGTCCCGGCCAATCTCCAGCAGACCCTCCCTCCCAGACCCTCCTACTTCCTGGACAACATATATGCTGTCCAGGAAGTAGGAGGGTCTTGGAGGGAGGGTCTGCTGGAGATTGGCCGGGACGTGTCAGCTGACCGGAGTTCGCTGCGAACAGCTCGTGGCGAACCGTGGCGAACCGTTCGCGAGAAGTTCGCGGACGCTTCACGACATCTCTACTCTAGACATGCTTAGTATTAAGGTGCTCAAATTGCAAGGATAGAATCCAATCAGAATTACCTTTTTCTTATTTATTTTAGCATTTATTGTGAATTTGAAGTAAAAAAACTGTATAAATATTGGTCAACATATGTAATAATTTTCCACGTTTCTTTCATTAGAGCAGATCTTAATATTTGGAAAGCATAACTCCTTGCACGTTATGCAGGCATGTGATTTTAGTTTTCATTCCACAAAGGACATACTTGGTTCCTGCATGTGCTTGGTTCCAGAATGATAAGTGGGATGACAACAGAGGACCAGATATGAATATCCTTATCTGCTTATGAAATCACATAAAAGATGAAAACCGCCAACAACAGATCATAACATTTCAATAAAGCAGAACCATAATCTCAGCTCTTTGCAAATATTAACCTGTCGCTTAACAAAAAAGATTTTTATCTAGAGGAGGTTGCATGTCAACTTTACAGTAACAAAGATTCTTTTATAATGTTCTCTGTTTCTGAATACCTTTTATTGTTTACAAAAACTGCGTAGCTGAAGGTCCCGCATTTATTACTAGTCTTATATACATACATTCATATGCATATACATACAGTAATGATAAATGCACATAGATATTTTAGTTTGCGTGTTCTTTAGTGATCAAGATACGATCAGTGCATTATTTGCATCCCTCTATATCACAATAGTTATTTGATATCCAAGAGTCCTACACTCTACGTGCCATAATTACTAGTGGGCATGTGGATTGATGCAGTAAGAGTTGCAAGACGTTCGAGGATAGATAATTACATGTTTTAATGGTCTGGAATAAAATGTGTTTTCTAGATTATCGGATATATTGATATAAAATCTGCTCAATTCTTCGGTGTTCAACAACTAAACATAATAAGGGGTCTACTCGTTTTAATTGTGCTCAATGTGTATCCTTTCTTCTCCTATATTTGATGTCTCTTTTTAACTCCAAAGGAATGAAAGCATATGGGAGCAAAGTTTGTTAAATTTTATGCCAGTATATACTGGGCTGTTGGAAACTCTACCATGTCTTTGGAAATGAAAATTAGTTGAAGGAACAGAAAACTTGGTTTGTGAAATAGATATATAAACTCCTATTCCTCTGGAGTGGAGAAATTTCACATACATCCAGACTATGAATTTGTAAAATAAAATAGTTTAAATGCTTTTAATTTTACTTGTATGTTAACATGTCATGATTCTGAAATGTGAAAAAAATCTTTCAGGCCTCTAGCTGCAATTTCAACAGGCCTATAGTTATATGGTTTCTGGTTAGATATTAAATGTTGTAGATCAGTGGTTCCCAACCCAATCTTCGAGTTCGCCCTAACAGTCCAGGATTTAGGGATTACCCAGTTGTTTCTGAGGTGTATTTAGAAAAGAAAAGAAAAAAACACCTTAGACACAACAGGGTAATCCCTAAATCAGGGGTCCTCAAACTCCGGCCCCCTATATGTTGCTGAAATATGACTCCCATGATTCTCTGGCTATCTATGTAATTCAAAGAATCATGGGAGTTGTAGTTCAGCAACATCTGGGGGGCCGGCGTTTGAGGACCCCAGCCCTAAATCCTGGACTGTTAGGAAGTACTTGGGGACTGAGTGGAGAACCCCTGTTGTAGATGCCTAATATAAAAGGACTAACAGGAAATCAAAAAACAATCTAGGAAAGATTTCATGAAAGAAAATATGGGAATATATAAAAAAAAAATCAATATACTGATGTATGCTATATATTTTGTGTAAGATAAATGTTATCTCCATTGGATTTCCTCTATACCACCATTCACCAATCACCATTTTTAGAACCATCATGAACGGAAAACAAATGTTTATTTTAGCAACTTTGCACAGACCAACCCATGTTTGCTCAAACGTTCTTCTTTTTTTTTTTTATCTTAACAGGGTTAATCACTAAAGTAAATTGTACATTTAAGGCCAAAGTAGCTGAATTAGAAAAATGATCTACGTTAGATATGCCTCCACTTCAGCTACTTTTGCCTTTAATTTGACATTCACCTTGAATTCCCTTTAATTCTCACTTTAGTGACTAATGCTGTATTTTGTCTACATATGCTGCTGGGTGGGGAGGGCTGGAAGGTAATGTGTGTGTTTAAGGCACCTCTCATCAAATTTAACTTTATGTGTAATGTGCGTCTAGACATGGATACTAGCCTCCCTGTATATACTCTAGCATTCACATTTTGTACAGTGATTTAATTATTTTTTTAAATCTTCCATCAACCTAAGAAACGTTACAAAATAAAAAAAAGATGATAAATGAACTTACTAGTGGACATCGTCCGGAAAACAATTAAAATTAGTTTGTAAATTATATATCTTGATTGCTTCAACCTGGAATCATTTTTTGGCAGGCCTTTAAATGATTACATGCAGTTAAGAAGTTTGCAGCCAATATACTTATTGTGTTCTGTGCCTGTATTCAGTATAAGTAAGATTAATTGGTTTTGCTTCAGTGATCTGCTCATTATAAAATGTTTTGTGCGGTTAGAAATATACAGAATATGTAAATATGACTCTGAGGAGAGGTATTCATCTCATCCATATCTGGTTTATAGTGTTAGAATTCAGCATAATATGCATTTGTATACAAGTGTTTTTTTTTTTTTTTTACTTTTTGGTATGAAATAGTATAGCAGAAATTATGTATAACAAAACAGCTAGACTTTTTGCTTAATTAATTATTAATTTATGTTATTGTTGTAGGAAAATGCAGCTATGTCCACAACTTAATTACATTTAGACCAATAATAGCTGCCTATTGGTACCATACTTAGGGGTGACTTATATGAGAATTTTCGACCGAACATGTGTATTATGTGCTTCATTACTTATCCAGAAATAGTTATATATAATATAATAATAGAGCCTGCAAATATCTATCCCTGGCTTATTTGTACAGCTCACTAGGGGAATTAATCCAGACAATAGAAGTAACACAATGCACAACAACCTTCAGTTATTTATAAAATATAGGTATATATAACATTGAATAAAGAATTTCCTTGAAATTTACAGTTTTAGTTAGGACCGACAAAAATAACTAATCTCTTGGTTGCTAGCCTGTTATTAAGCATATTAGCAATTTCCAAGCAGCATCTCCGCATATATGCAACCACACAGTTTACAGTCACACACACAAACTCACAATCTGCCTCCCCATAAACATGCAACCCCATAAAGTAATGTAATACCGCAAGGATACCACAGGCGGTGTCCCTATTAACATGTAATACAACAAGGAGCCTCTCTCCACACACAAACAACAACACAAGCACCTTCCCCTGCCCCCCTCCCCCTCCCACACATAACATCACAAGCAGCAAACACATACAGCATCAGAGGCAAACTTCCCTCCCACACGCAAACATGTCTTCATTCACTATCCCTCTTGTGTCCCCTGGTGTCTCACAAGCAAACAAAGAGCAAAGGTATAATTAAATTCACTTGTACTGTTCTGGCATAGGGACTTGTTACTACTACCCCATGTAAGAGCTGCTCTAATTTTTTTTATTATTTTATTATTTATATAGTGCCAGCAAATCCTGTAGCGAGTTTACAATGCGATGCACGGCTCCATGCATGGGATGCCCTGAAAAGGCAGGGAGCTGAATTTGTTGGGATGGTGTACCTGTTAATAGTGATGACACAACACCCCAGCCTGTCTCCACCCCGCTCCGGTTTGGCTGCTTACTCTCCAAAGGCCCAGGCAAACATTTTTGTACCAGCCTGACCCTGCTCTGTATAGTTGAATAGAAATGAATCTGGGTGGAAATCGGCACTGCAAAAATGTGGAACATAACTGGGTGTTGATAAGCTGAAATTTGTTTGCGTTACGTTGAAATGCAAAACCAAAATCAGCCTATGTGTATACTTTAAAACAAAGTCTTTTTATTTTGTTGAGAGTTTCAGGGACACAAGGCAGAGCAGAGTGTTGTCTGATTTGGACGGAGGCAATAATAACTAGCAAACATATTATTCAATAAATGTCATGACTGAATCCTGGAATTTTCATAAACAAGTCAAGATATATGATAAGAAAAATAAAAAGTATAAAACAAAGCTTCAGCATACTGCAGTTCCAGCAATGTAAAGTAGGTAGTTTGTATTAATATAAGAGCTATGCCAACCCTGCATATAAAATTCGGAATATTTACTGTCTAAGGCTAAGGAGCATGATAAAATAAAAAGGAACAATACTTGCTGCATTCGAACCTTGTCGAAGGCGAGAAAATCAAATATTCATCCACCATTCAAAATGAATTGTTTTCTTTATGTAGCAGATGCCAGGTGCATGTTGATAGCACAAATGTCATTTGGCAGAATCGGAATGATATATCTGACTTTGCCCTTCATAAACCAACGTATTAATTTTAAACGCCATCTGTATCAGTATTCCTTTTTAGATCGACTAAAGAAATCATCCCTTTACTCAAATTTTGGACAAGCTGTTACATCACCGTATTTTTCCCAACAGAATTTAGATGTGTTTATAATTACATAATTGCAGTAGAACATCCTCAATTTAAAATTGGCAGCTATGGAAAAGGTTTGAATTTTGGAAGAAGCATTGCTAACATTTAAATAATATATCCCAAAATTGCGTGTGTCCTTTATTTCATTATATGAAAGTGCATTTAACACTGATTGCAATGTTTTGTTCCATAATATTAAAAAAAAAATCTATTATGGATAATTTTATTATTTGCGAAAAACAATATGAAAGGCTTAATTCACTGTCTTGTGTGGAAAACTGACAATGAAAATTGCAATATTTCTGCAGAATTTTCCTTCTTCACTGTTTTTAAAACTGAGCTATTTGGCTGAAAATATTCAGTAGCCAATTATC